TGCCACTGGGAGCTGGGAAAGTTAATGTCTCCACACAACTGTAACACATTCAAGTACAGGGCTGAGAAAGTGTCTTGTATCCATAGACACAGGGGGCCAACTGTAGTGGGAAATAAAGTTTGAAAGCAAAGTAGAGCCCATGTGGAACATCTATCAATTTTCACGTCTGTCTACTGACATGTGATATTTGCATTTGTGATAATAATAACTAAGGTTCTACAAAATTCAAGGTGCCTTATGATTACCAATGGTTAAATAGCATTTAATATGACTGTAATGCTAACTATATTTACTATGTTTTAACTTCAAGCATAGTGCAAAGTAAAGTTGCATCTTTTGAGGGTGATTTGGATGATGAGAGGTGTGGGTATGAAGAATTAAAGTCAATGAATAAAGCAGAAAATATTTTAGTCAAAATTACCCTTAAAAATTGTTTAAACTGCCCATAAGGCCCATTAAGCACAATTTTATAAATACTACCTTACGCAATAATTCTTGGGCACACTAAATTATGAGAATAATTAAGGTAATTAAAAGAACAAAAGGGTCTATAGGCAGGTGTCTGGGCATTTAAGCTATTCTACATGTAAAATTGATATAGTGGGCAGACATGAGCAGAGTTGGAATAGGCCAGGTCACCAGGTGGAAAGCCCCCTCCCCAAAACTAGGAAAACAAGTACTGTAGGGTGGGACCTTGTCCCCAGGGTGACCTTTCCTCCCATGTTTATAATTATGTGGTAGACCCCCTTAGAGGAGGAACAAAGGGGCCTCATTTGACTCCCATACAAGCCCTGGAATGACCACTCCCTTAAGCATTAAGCCTCCAGGACAGTGAGATTCTGGCCAGCATCAAACAATCTTAGGAACAAAGCCTAGGATCTGTTGACAACAGAGACAGAATTTTGGTCAAACTATAGAGATAACATTTAGGCCTCAGTGTGTTTTAGTTCCAGGACCAGAAAAGCAGCAAAGCCAGACAAAGCAATGTCATGGCTGATATCAGGACCTGTTGCAATGACTAATGAACCCCTATCCTAGCACCAACCAGTCAGTAGAAACAGAGACCCTGAAACTACACACCTGAAAAATTGATGAATATTTTGAGATCCTTCCCAGGGACCTCCACTAAAATTCCTGCCTTTGGAAAAAAGATAAAACCCCTTAAGACGAAGGACCTCTCCCTCTTGAGCGTTCCCCCTCTCTACTCCCCCTCTCCCTCTGGAACACACCGGAATCTTCCCCCTTTCTTCCCTAGATTACCTTTGCTTTCTCTCTCCTAAGCTCCAAGGGCCCTTCTTTTGCCTCTGTAGTTTGTTTCTTGAATCCATGAAGCCCAGCTGGCTTACTTCTTCTATGGCTCATTTATGCTATCTTCTTCCTCTGTGACTTTCTAAATAAATGTTCACTTGTATTTCAGTTCTTGGCTTTGAATTCTTTCTTAATCAAACACAAGGACTGAGGTGTAACTTCACAGTAACATTTGGTGCCATTTGCCATTAACAAAATGATTATTAAATACCTAAGTGGTGAATGGTTGATGAGTGGAGAATTCTAGTGTTACTGATTGTCTACAGAGTTTATTCTTTTGGGTTTGATAGAAAGTCTCTATAACCTTATATGAACAGATTGTTTGGTGGTGATGATGATGATGATGATGATGATGATGAGTGTGTGTGTGTGTGTGTGTATGTGTTGGCAGCAGGGGACAGAAAAGCAGAAAGTGGAGAGGATTAAGTACTAAAGTCAGTGAACATATAAAGTTGAAGATATTGTAAGATAGTAGAGTTTTGTCTACAACAGAACTCTCTTAATTGAAAGTGTTAGAAGTTCACCTGGGCTAGTTTAAGCACTATTTTAAAAAGCAGGGTTGAGGCTGGGAAGGTTTTAGAAGGTTTTCAGGTATACCAGACCTGAAGTGTTGGGATGCAGTTAAGCCTCAAGAATGAAATGGAACCAGGGATTTGACTGTGCAGCAAACAATTTCCTTTCTGTGCAACTAATCATTCTCACTTCCCTCCTGTCTCTTTCTGTCTCTTGCATGACTTTTTATTATATTTTCAAAGGGGTGATGGGCTTTAACAAGGGTAAGAATTATTGCTGTGATTTCACTGCTATTTCGGAGAAAGAGGTAATTAAGAGAAATAATATTAAGGAAGTATCTATTCCTTGTTTACTAACATATTTTGTTTTAAGTAAAAAATCGCTAGTTCTTTATTTATGTCCTTTATTGCGGTATTACTTACACAAAGTACACAAATTCTAGGTGTACAGCTTGATTAATTTTCACATGTGAAATTATACCATATCAACATATAAAACATTTCCAGCACACCAGAAAACTACTTCATGCCCTTTCCCAGTTAATCCTAACCCAAAGTTTACCACGATCATCACTTTACTTTAAATCTTTCTTCATCTCAGCTCACAAGATGGTTGGGATAGTAGAATGCACAAAGAAATAGAATGCATTCAGAACTACAGCAGATATTTCTATAATTCACGGCTAGAGAAAGAATCTAGTGAAGGTAGTGGCATTTGAATGTTTTTAAATATGTAGCAATAAACAACTTTTTAAAAAACACCATTACTAGGGCATACATACTTATCTCTCCACGCGTATAAATAGGATGTATGAGCAGCATGGCTTTTTCTGATTCACCAGTCTTGAGTGAAAAGCACAACACCCAAGAGTTCTGTTGGGAGCATCTTTTCCACTCAAGAAACCAGCCAGACTAAAGCTAGAATCCTAGTCCCAACCCACATTCCTGGAAAGGTATCTTATTGTTCCAGCTTGAGTCAGATGTCTGCTCCTGGACCAATTCACTATGGTCTGGAGTGTGGTTCATGCCTGTGCAAAATGGCTGCCAGAAGCTCATTAATTAATAGTATGCAGATCTGGAGGGGGTAAGCAGTTCTCAGAAAATACATTGGCTGGGAAGATAACCTAGGAGATCTATATTAATGTGCCAAATCTGAACTTTATTCTCAGGTTCTCCATATTCTCAGGCTGCTCTATGATACTAGAAAAATTATTTCTTAATTTATATAGTTAATATATATTGTTCTGTTAGTCTGTTCCAAGAACTATGCTAGATTCTAAGTAAATCATAAAATAGGGTGAGACAAAAGTAGGTTTACAGTTGTGAGTATGTGAAGCACAAGAGTTTATTCTTGTATTAGTATTTATTATTGTATTATTTTCCATATGAACAAATTTCCATTTTTAAATTGGCAATTGCTTAGGAAAGTTATTTCTCTAGACACTTTATTGAACTTGTTTCAATTTATTCCCTTGGGTTTTCCAAGTAAGCAATCATAATACCTGAAAAGATTTTTTTCTATATTTACATATATACTTCCTGGTTCAGTTAGGACCTCGGGTAAATGTTGGCTAGTAGCAGCAGATCTACTCCTAACAACTTCAGGGTCCATAGCAAGAGTACAAAAAGATGGCCACACGCCATCTGTTTAAATATTTAAAGATTACAAATCAAGCTAACAAACTGTTAGATTAAAAAGTTCTATCCTATTACCTCAACACACCTCATTTATCGCAAACATACATATAATAACCTGGAAGGTTTAGTTCAAATTTAGAATCCTTGAGTGCCATGCCTTCTATTGTACTTGAGATAGCTTTTTCAGAACTTAACTCGCATGACCTTTACTTCAAAACATCTTGTTTAACTGACCTTTGCTTAAAAAACATTTTCCCATGATATTGCCTAACACTTTAATTTTTCTCCTTAGAATTAAAATTTTATAAACATCTCATTCCTAGAGTAAAACAAATATCAGCATTTATCATACCCACAAAGAAAATCCAAATTGCTTAGATTTTTGTATTTATTTTAGAAATTGGCCCTGGCCGGTTTGGCTCAGCAGTTAGAGCGTCGTCCCACAGACCAGAGAGGCCCCAGTTCAGTTCCCGCTAAGAGCACATATCTGGGTTACAGTTTATCCCCGGCCCTGGTTGGGGTTGTGTGGGTGGCAGCGAGTCGATGTGTCTCTCTTATATAGATGTTTCTTTCTCTCTCTTCCCCCCTTTCTCCCTCCAGCTCTATCTGAAGATAAATGCAAAAATGTCCTCAAGTGAGGATAAAAAAAAATGTTAGAAATTGCCCTTTCTTACAGGCCCTTAATCTTCCTTGGTCCACAATTTCTACCTCTATACCCACTTTATTGGAGGATCCTACCAACTGAGTTTCCTTAGGCTTGAACATCCTTATGGCTTCTGAGGACAATACCATTAGTGGATAGGTTCTAAGTTAGTCATCTGAATACTCACAAACACATATAAAAAAAGGCTGGGTCTGGAAGTTAGGTCATCACTTGTGACCTGAACAGGGCTTCATAGAGCCATCTGCTTGTTCATTGATGGCAGCTGGTATAACAGGAAGAACTTGGAAAGGAAATGAGCAAACTCAATTGGAGTTCAAATTGTCACTAACTGGCTGAACTGGTGTGAGTCACTTAACACTCTTTGTTGAGCCTCAGTGTCATTAACTATAAAATTGGAATAAGGACACTGGCATTAAAGCCTCTACCAATTTTGGGGGGAAATCACAACTTGTCTCTTCTGCGCTTGTTATAATTAAGAAACGTGCCCTCTTCACCTCACAGTTTTAAGGGAGGGGGCGAGAGGGAGAAGGCACAACCTTTCTGAGCTTCAATGTCTAAGAACACACGACCAGCCCGCCAATAAAATTCCTAGAACAGAGAAAAATGAAAAGAAACATTTTGCAAAATGCAGAGGGCTATACGAAATGTGAATTGTCGCATACTTAAAACACAACAAACTGACCAAAAAAATCGTTTATGCGTCTCTTTCCTCCTGGCTCCAGTATTACAACACTGTATAAACTAAGACCACTTTTTAAAAAAATTCTCGCCCGCGTTTGTTGTCACCTGCGCGCTGGCCACACCCCCCGAGGCTGGGACTAACCCGCCCGCCCACTGCGACGCCCCGCCCCGTCGCTCCCGCGCCTGCGCCTTGCGCACCGACCGCCCTCGAGCGCCCCGGCGGGAGGTAAGGGGCTCGCGGGAGGCCGCCTTAGGGGCGTCTGGCCCTGGTCTTCTCCGTGGGCCAGGCGCGCGGGAGAGGGGTCCCACGGAAAGCGGGGCTTCAGGTCGGACATGCGAGCGCCGTGGGGACTCCTCCCGGCTCCAGGCAGTGGCACTTTCGCTTTGGGAAGCACTGTTCGAAGCGGGTATTGGGAGGCGGCTGACGGGACGAGTGTGATGGCTTCCCGAGGTCGCGGGGTGGAAAAGTTCCCGGCGCCTGCCCTGCCCGTGACGCACTGTGGGGCCCACGTCCTCGGGTCCCCGGCGTCTCTGTCCCGAAACCAGCCCGCGCATCGTCGCCGGTGGGGGGCGTGTGGTGTGTGTGGCCCAGGTGCGCCGTGGGTGACACTGCGAGGGGTGACGCGAGGCTCGGGGGTCGTGAGGGGAGGGCCGGGTGCAGGGGGTCGGAGCCCCCGGTCAGCCAGACCAGGGGGTGGTGCACAGGCGGTCCCGCGTCTTACTCCCTCCTTCTGTAAATTCGGAATCTGAGGCTCAGAGAGACCATATGATAGGACCAAGGCCTTGACTTTCCAAATTAATTCCCCCGGCCCCCAGTCAGAAAAGGGGGACGTGCCTGTGCAGTCAGTGCCACCAATGTGGGGGTCTCTAGGCTGATGGAAAGTGTTCGTCATTCTTGGGTGTTCCGGAGATTTTGGATTTTTTCTGAGAAATGGAGCTTTTCAGCTATAAAGAATCTCTTAAGTAATTTAGTTACCCCTCCCCCCAGTACTTTTTTCTTGTGGGAAACACGAGTATTATGGTACCACGCTGATGATAGTTGTAAGTACTAAATGATAAAGTGTGTAGCACCTCGAATCCCCTCCCCTCTAGTGTTAGTGCGGTATATGATTGCAGTTCTTTGACTTCTAAATGTTTGCCCTGTTTATGTAAAACATCACTTTACACATTAAAAAAACAACAACTTTATTTTAAAATAGTTTTACAAATACAGAAAAGCTACAAAAGTACTACAGGGTCCTCTACAGCCTCCTTTAATGTTAACACCTGATATATCTGATACAGTGATCAAAGGTGAGAAACTAACATAGGCTCATTATTATACAAGTTTTCTTCAGAGTTCATCATTTTTTATGCGAATGACCTTTTTCTGTTCCAGGAGCCAGTCTAAGATCCCACATTGCATGTAGTTGGCATCCCTCCTTAGTCTCCTCCAATCTGTGACAGCTCAGTCATTTTCTGTCTTTCATGATTTATTTGCTTTAGAAGAGACCTGGTCAGTTATTTTGTAGAATGCCCCTCAGTTGGGTTTTATCTGAATTTTTCTGCTGATTTGATTAACGTTGTGCATTTTTGTTGATACCACAGAAGCTTGTGTGCCCTTCTCAGTTAATCATTTGAGGAAGTGCATGATATGACATGCTGCGTTTGATACTGCTTTTGATCAGTTTAGTGTCTGCTGGGATTCTCTAATGTAGTTAGTATATTCCCCTTTGGGAGGGAACTTGTAAACTGTGCAAACATCTTGTTTCTCCTCAAACTTTCACTTTCCGATTTTAGCATTCATCGGTGGATCTTGCTTTCAGTAATTATTACTGTAATGTTATGATGGTGACTTTCTGTGTCCCTCATTTCCTTATTTATTAATTTAAGTTCTTCTGTAAGGAAAAGCTACCCTTTCTTCCCGTGTATTTATGTATTCAGTTATTTATATGTACCAATATGGACTCACTTATTTTTCTATTGGTTATTATCCTACACTTCTGTTATTTTAGGCTCAAATTGTTCCAGCTTTGGCCATTGAGAGTTTTGTAGTTGCTTCAGATGCCCTTTTGATAAACCTCTATCCTTTTCTGAGAACTTCCTTACTTTCTGGCTCCATAGATGCTCCAGGTTTATCTTGTGTTTTCCCTGCCCTAGCCCTGGAATCAGCCACTTCTCCAAGGATCCCTGATTTCTTGTTTTGGAGAGTGTTATTTAAACATCAAGATCTAGGCAGTAGGTATGCTCATTGCTACTGGGGCATCATTACTTCCAGTGTGCATGCCACACACACATATACACATATACATATACACACATATAAACACACACACACACATATCCATGCATAGAGAAAGATTTATGTTTATTTTTCATCTATCTATCTATCTATATATAGACATATATCTGTATATATGTCTGTATATATTCTGATCGTTTCTAATTTTTAAAAACCAAAGTTTAGTCCAGCCAGTGTGGTTCAGTAGATTGAGCATCATTCCACAGAGAGGCCTTGGTTTGATTCCTAGTCAGGACATATACCCAGGTTGCAGGCTTGATGCCCATGTTGCAGGCTCTATCTGCATTAAGGGCGTGCAGGAGGCAGCTGATCGATGTTCTCTCTCACATTGATGTTTCTATCTCTTTTCCTCTCTCTCTCTCTCTAAAAAAAAAAAAAAAGTTTATTCTGATTCTGATAACTCTCATTCTAATCTAACACTACAGGTTCATTCTATTCTTGCCCCTTATTTGTCATTTATTTCTTTGACAGCAAGAAATCTGGTTTTCATGTTACACAAAGTATTTTCTTATTTGTTCAATCCTAGTAAAACATAATTCCAGTATTTCTTACCCATATTCCTAGGAGAAACAAATTTACTAACTAGAGTCCAGTATAGTTGTGTATAGTTGTTTTTGTCTTTAACTTTGTAGTATCCAGTTAAAATACTGTTTTGTAAACTTACCTAGATTAGTTATTTTCTTCCTTCACTTCTTTCAGTGGGGTTATGCTCTGCTATTCATTTGTAATAAACAATTAGTTTTGTTCCACATAGTCTGTATTCCATTTGGGCTCCCCCACATACCACAGTCTGTATTCCATTTGGGTTCCCCCACATACTGTTGTTTTTGTTTTTTAATTTATAAAAATTTACTTTGTGGTATACAGTTCAATGAATTTGGACAAATGCATATAATTGTGTATCCATCACCACTGTCATGATACAGAACAATTCTATTACCCCAAATATTCCATTATATATATATATTAAAATGTTAAAAGTAACACAACAACTCTACACAAGTTTGGAAAATTAGGCTTTTTTTTGTGTGTGCGTTTTTTTTCTTGTCTTTTTCATGGGCATATTTTACATAGTTTCATGTTAATGTATTTTTTATTTTTGTGTTTTAATTATATCAGAAATATGTTCCAATTTTCTGACTGAAAAATCTAGAAATGCTGAAAGACACTCTCATTTATTCAATCATACTTTTAAATCACATTAAAAAATTGTTTTTTCTTTTTTTTTAATTGATTTTTAGAGAGAGAGGAAGGGAGAGGGAGAGAGAGATAGAAACATCGATGAGAGAGACCATCGACTGGCTGCCTCCTGCATGCCCCCCACTGGGGATTTGGCCCACAACCTGGGCAGTGCCCTGACCGGGAATCGAACTGGCGATCTCTTGGTACATGGGTTGACACTCAACCACTGAGCCACACCAGCTGGGCTAAATCACATTTTGTATATGGAATTAAGATCTTTCCTTAACAGCTTACAACTATTTGAGCTATTTTATGATTAGAGCCACTGCTGGACAACTTTGTGTTTCAGTAACATCATGATTTATGAAATTGTTTGAATATTAAGTTAGCATTCTATAAAAATAGAAATGGTAGAGAGTAGAAAAAAAAATACTGGCTAGAAGGAGACCTAAGAGTTGGAAAACAAGTTGGGAGGCTCTTGGGGCAATTGTCTTCCCTGAGAGATGGCCCTTATGAAGAGCAGGTTTTCCTTGGTCATGGAAAGCTGAGGAACGGAGTCATGCATAACTCATCTGGAAATATCACTTTGGAACTCAAAAAGGAAAACTATCATCATGGCATAGGACAAATATTCAGTAATTGGAGTTTGTTTAGTACTATAAACTGATTAATGGAAGAGAAGGCAGAATCAAATGATGCATAAAGTTTAGAAGCAGATGGGATGGATTATAAAATAACTTATGTATATATGCATTGCCCATGGACACAGTGAAGGCTTAGGGTAGGGTGGGAATTGGTGGAAGGGGGCAATGGGGGAAAAAGAGGAGGACATCTTTAATACTCAACAATAAAGATAAATAAAAACATTAAACATTTTTTTATAAAGAACAACAAAATAAGAGCTTCTAGACAGGTGGAACACCATTGCAAAGGCCAAAATAGAGATTGGATGATAATAGAAGGGTAGATCTACTTATGAACATTGTCTTTTCTTGTTCAAATGCTAGGGAACTCTTGCAAGCTTTTGTTTAGAGGAGGAGCATGTTGCAGTTGGTGTTTTAGATATATAGTAATTATAATCGGGGGGTGGGGGGCAGAATTGGAGAGGAGAAAGAGTCTAAAGGTAGGCCAAATAAGACACTTGTAGTGTGCTATGCATATTATGCTGTTTGACTGTAGTGATAGGATTAGACATGGTGAACAAGGGGAAGGGAAAGAAATATTTTAGTTTTATCAGCATCTGTTGAGCACCAGATATGTTTATAAACACTTTGATAGGAACGGTGGTAAGTATAAAGATATATTCCTATTGTATATACTCTGCATAGTAGAAGAAAACACAAGAGGCAGTGTGATAAACTGGGAGACATTAATGTTAGACAAAGTTGATAATTTATAAGACTCTATTATGTTAAATGTAATAAGAAAAAAATATTCCTTGTAGTGAAATAGACATTTTGCATGAGATGGCAATTCATGAAAGAAGAAATGCAAATGTCTAATAAATCAATCCCATTAGTAATTTAAGAATTGAAAAATGAAACATTGATGAGGTATCATTTTTGTCACCAGTCAAATGTCTAAGAAGAATGATAATACTAAGTATTGGTTGGAGTATGGATAAATGGACATTTTGATGTGTTGCTAGTGGGAATGTAAATAGGCCCAACCTTTTTTTGGAAATTTGGTGTCAAAAGTCCTAAAAAAATATGTATACCTACTAATTCTATTTCCAGGTATTTAATTTAAAGAAATAGTTATAGATGGTATTTTGGTTTATGTGTAAGGAGGGTAACTAGACTGTGGCATAGTTTATAATGGTGGAAAATTAGAAACAACCTAAATAGCCAACAATAGATGATTAGTTAAATTATGGAACATCTATGCAAAGTAATACTATGTGTTAAAAGATGCACTGTAGCCCTGGCTCGTGTGGCTCAGTTGGTTGGAGCTTCAACCCATACAGTGAAAGGTGGTGGGTTTTATTCCCAGTCAGGGTGCTTTCAGGAGGCAACCATTCCATGTCTGTCTGTCTGTCTACCCTCCCCCCCCAGCTCTGCCCTCTCTCTCCCTCCCTCCTCCCTCTGCCCCTTCCTCCCTCCCTCACTCAATTCAGTTTTTTAAAAAACATATTCTCCAGTGAAGATTAAAAAAATGCATTGTAGAAAAATAATAATTTAAATGGAAACACTTTTATTATACATAATCAGGTTATTCAAAATACATCCTTTTTTTGTTTATTTGTTCACTTATTCACCCAGTAACAGTATACTTTATTACATTGATTACTCTTTGCCATTCCACTTCGTTGGGTTTATTCTCTTTATTGTTAAAGTATGCATTTTAGTAGTTCTTTTAATGATGGGCTTGGTAATAAACTCAGTCTTTGTATGTCTGGTAATTATTATTTTGCCTTCACTTCTAAATAATATTTTCCCTGGGTATATACCAACTCTCTCAGCACTTTGAAGATATTCCTGTCTTTTGATATCTTGCTTTGATGAAAAGTTTGCTGCTTTTATAGGTTTAGTTTATCTGTCTTTTATCTTTGGTTTGCTTTTTAAGATTTTCTCTTTGTCCTTGATGTTCTGCAATTTCTCTTCCACATGTTCAGGTAATTTGTTGTTTTCTGTTTATGCTTCTTGAGGCTTATGTCCATTTTCAATTTGAGGTCCTATATCTTAATTCTCAGCATATTCTTTTTGAATAATGAATGCCTTTTCATCACTTCATTCTTTCCTTATGGGACTCCTATTTGTTATTGAGCATCTCATTTTATCCTTTATGTCCCTAATTTTCTTTTCATATTTTGTACCTCTTTATTCCTCTGTGTTCTGACTAATATCTTCCAAACAATAATTCTCTCTTTAGCTACGGAGTTTACTTTTTAACCCATCTTTTGAGGTTTTTGAGTAAAAATTTTTAAGTAGACTATTTACTTGGTTTAGTTTTAGATTGGCCTGTTACTGTTTCATAAAATTTTCTAATTTTTAAAAAGATTCTATCCTTTTTTTATATCTTTGAATATTTTCCACTTCCTACTGTAGGACTCACTTTTGGTGTCTGGAGATTTTCCTTTTTTTTTTTTTTGCTTTTGAGCTTAGATCAAACATAAAATTCAAATTACAAGTAAATAAGATAGTCTGTATAACCAACACTTCAAAATTTTCAACTGTGAAAGAAAGAGAAACAGAACATTATTTAGAATAATAGTTCTAATGTTTCTGGAGTGATAGATTTCTTTGATAATCTCATGAAAGCTATGGACCCTGTCCTCCAAAATAATTCAAAATACATTCACACTTTTTTATAAAGATAAAGTGATTCCACAAAGTCTTTTTGTGAACTCTAATCTCTATGAACCCTGGTCTAAGTCATAATAACCCACCAGCATTAACATGGTCAATTAAATTTTTTTCTAAATAGGAAGAGATTGTGGCTAATGAGATGGCATGAAACCGTGGTGCACAACAGAGGTTTTCAAGCTTAGTTAAGCAGTGGAACCCTTTATTTATATAAAATCTAATAAACTCAAATTTATGAAATAGATATAAGTAAATTTTCTCCAGTTGAAGCAGGCGTGGGGTCCTAGAGCCTGCTCATTTACCAGTCCCTACTCTCTCCCACCCTGGCCTCAAAGGCATACCTTTGGACTTTCTGGAACATTGGTAGAAGAATACTGGTGAATTAGAAAGGACATTTGATTATACACTAAGGAATCCTGGGTTCTTGTTCCAGCTGTGTCACTAATTATTTGTATTGGTTGTAGACAATGCTAATCACTTTGTAAAAAAGGGAAGAGGCAATTTAAAGGATGTCAATGAGAAGAGTTGCATACTATGTTGTTTAAAGTATATAATTACATAGATACGTTATGATATTAGAAATATTATACAAGCAGAAATGTTAAGAATGAAATTTTTTCTTCCAATTTTACCATTTGACACCTTTTTCAAAAAGGTTATTCAATGTCCAGTATATACTAGGAAATGAAAACTTGGACAGTATACTCCTAGTTTTTTTTAAAAAGTTGCCTGACTGATGTGGCTCAGTGGATTGAGCATCATCCCATGGACTGAGAAGTCCTAGTTCGTGGATTCCCTGGTCAGAGCACATGCTTGGTTTGCTGGTTCGATCCCCAGTAGGGGGTGTGCAGGAGGCAATGCAGCCGATCTATGTTTCTCTCCCTACCTCTCTCAAAAATCTTTTTTTTTTTGTTTGTTTTGTTTTCTTTTTTAAATTTAATTTAATTTTATTTTTCATGTATTTATTTTTTTAATTTTATTTTTGTTACAGATGGTTCTCCTTTTTTACCCCATTGACACCCTCCTCCCCATCCCCCCCGCTCTGTCCCTGACTTTGTTGTCCATATCCATTGGTTATGCATACATGTATATAAGTTCTGTGGTTTATCTCTTCCCTCCCCGCACCACCCCTTCTTTTGAGGGTTGTCAGTCTGTACCCTGCTTCCATGTTTCTGGGTCTGCCCTATTCCTCAGACTTATGTTCATTATATTCCATAAATAAGTGAGATCATGTGGTGTTTGTCTTTTCCTGCTTGGCTTGTTTCACTTAGGATAATACTTTCCAGGTCCCTCCATGTTGTCTCAAAGGATAAGAGATCTTTCTTTCTTACAGCTGCATGGTACTCCATTGTGTATATGTACCACAGCTTTTTTATCCATTCATCTACAGAAAATTCTACCCAGTAAGGCTGTCATTCAAAAATCAATTTTAAAAAACATTTTTAAAAACTTACTTACACACACACTCATATATATGTGTATATCAATATATATATTTAAGACCTTGTAAAGGCATAAATCAAAATGGAAGGAGTAGGGGATGGGAGAAAAAATGGAAAGAATAGTTAACTTTGGGTGAGCAGATGATTGTTGATTTTATTTTATTCTTTTTTTATATTTTCTAAACATTCTAAAGGGAATGTACATTATTTTTGAACAGAGAAAAAGGTTTTAAAATAAAAGGTTTCTTAAACAAGTCACTGAAGTTCAGCATTAAGTTGAATATGTATTTAGAATAAATTATAAAATTGCCTAATCGTTGGTTTGCAAAAATAATAGGAACTCATTTAAAAACAATCTTAAATAAATATTTCCCTTTTAGGTTTTTCTATATGACTAGAGAAGACAGTTGTTGCAAGTAGAAGTGATACAACATTTTTTAGGATACAACATTTTTTAGGATGTCTGAAGATGAAGAAAAAGTGAAATTGCGCCGTCTTGAACCAGCTATCCAGAAATTCATTAAAATAGTAATCCCGACAGACCTGGAGAGGTTAAGAAAGCACCAGATAAATATTGAGAAGGTAAATTTTTTCATTTTCTACCACAAAAAAATGTTACATATTCTGATTTGTATTTGTTGTACATTTTCGCTAAATTCAGAATATTAAATAAGAGGCTTTGCTAAAATATCTAGCTTCTATTCATTTAGGAACATTATTCTTTCATCTGTTTGTTGTTGTTCTGCAAATACATTTCTCATTCCTTTACTAGGAATGGATATAAGAATAGGATCTGCATCTTTTTAGTTGTACATACTGACGTATTAAGCAGTTAATAATTACAATACAAACAGTTTGATAGTGCATTAAAATGTGAAGGTGACAAACCTTGGTTATGGGGCTTACCTTAGTTTCATTCACCCCATGGCAAGTTTTTTGAACTTGAGTGTGTGTCTTTCAGTAACTTCTGATCTCTTCAGGTGCATGTAGATTAAAGAGGCAAATCATTATGTGATATGAGGGAATTTTCTAACTTCACTGCTTTGAGGAAAGCCCCAAATTCAGAAATATTACCTAGAGGCCAGTTTAGGAGATAGGCAGAGGGAAGGACTAGTCTCAGGGACCGGTGGAAGTTGCATAGAACCTGGACCGGCCAGGGTCTGGTAGAAGGATTGTGGCATTTATGGAGAATATCAGGTTTCAGGAGAATTGAGCATTGAATTTTTTTTCTTTTACTCCTCACCTGAGGATATTTTTCTATTTATCTTCAGATAGAGTGGGAGTGAGGGAGAGAGAGGGAAACATTGACATGAGAGGAACACATTGACTGGTTGCCTCCCGCATGACCCTGACCACGGTGGGGAACAAACTGCACCTGAGGTACATGCCCTTGGCCGGAATTGAACCCGAGACTCATTGGTCCATGGGTCAGTGCTCTAACCGCTGAGCCAAACTGGCCATGGCTGAGCATTGATTTTAATAAGTTATATTGTCTTATTTGCTATGGGTTGGGTCAGTGCTAATTGCTCCTTCTAAAGAACCTCCCCCAGTATAAATTTTAAGTTGTGTGTCCCTGGTTGATTTGGGGGGCAGGGGAGTGGAAATGGTCATTTAGCCTTTTTTTATAAACAATATTTATCAACTGACTACCTTATACAAGTTATAAGGGTGTCAACTTTTTCTTCCATAAATATCATCTGTCTTCCTAGTATTTAAGTATTTTTTAAAAGTATAGAAAATAAGTGCCAAGAGTATTATGATGAAAATTTCCATACAAATATGAAGGTATATAATAAGGTGAAGGCCTGGTGGGGTCAGGGGCTGGGTGGAGGGGGGGAAGGGGGAGAACATGGGGGACTTCTGTAATACTGTCAACAATAAAAAAACAAAAAGCAAATATGAAAGTATCTAAAATTCAAGATTAATATTTTGTTATCCCTTAATTTCTTTCTTTTTTATCCATAAGCAATAAGTCCTATGACTTTATAATCTTCACCTGAGGGTATGTTTATTGATTTTAGAGCAAGAGGGAGGGAGGGAGGGGGGAGAGAGAGAGAAACATCAGTGTGAAAGGATAACATCAGTCGGTTGCATTCAGTATGTGTCTCAATCAGGAATCAAACTTGCAACCTAAGTATGTGACCTGACCTGGAATGGAACGCAAACATTCCTGGTGTACAGGACAACACTCCAACCAACAGAGCCACCCAGCTGAGGCAGTACTATGAGTTTTTATTCTGGTCAATCTATGCTTTGATGAATGAGGAAAGCTCATTCTTTTAGTACTATAACAGCAAAGAAATAGAGTTGTTTATTTTGATTGATCATATTGGGTGGGAGATTTGATAAAGTCCTGAGCTCATTTTGAAGTGCTGGGTTACTTGGAAGAATTGATTATGAGAGGCAGAAATAAGTAGACTGTGGTCTAGTAAGACCATTTTTTCTCTTTATTGTCCTATTTTACATTTGAGGTTTGGAATGTTTTATATTTCTTTTTTATATATTCTATTTGAAAGTGCCTATTGTCATTACCCTCAGAACTTAACCCATGTACCATCCAGTCATCAATGGAAAAAGGCAGAACCCTGAGAGCAAGGTGGGTAGTAATAGGAATGGGTCTATTACTGACTTCAGTAGTTGTGCCAGACTTCGTAAGAAAGTTATTCTAGAGTTATATTGATTTTTATTTTCCAGAACAGTTTTCCTTTAGCTTTTGTATAATTTTACTTACTATGAAAATGTTAGACAGTATCAGAGTGATTATAATTTACAAGATAGGTGATGTTATCTGAAGCTAAGCACTTAAACTCATACTGATCTATGCTTTATTCCATATTCTTGATCATTCTTCTGTCTCTAGGATTTCTAGTTTAGTTATGAAAGTGATTTTGTATCTATATAAGATGGAATAGCATATTTTAATAGATAGTTTATGGCAATGTAAAAATATTTAAAAGCAGCAGTGTTCACTGTGGACAAAAGAGTAAAGAACTAATTTTGGACTTCAGGTATCTAATGGTACCTCCCTTTCAAAAAGGCATATTCTTCCTGGGGGGAAGAGTGTAGAAAGATAAAATATTTATTATGTTAGCCATCAGTCATCCAATATGAATTTAAAAGAAGAAAGTCAGACTGAAGGGAAATTGAAGGTAGGCCTTAGTGGAGTGATTCTGCAATAACTGAAAACAATGAGAGCAGTGTGCCATGGACACCTGGGACTACATGTTATTATTATACCTGATAGCCTTGATTAGAATGTACATGTTATTATGATTAGAATGTAGTCCTGAAGTTTGGGTTAGCATTCAGCTTTTTTGGCTAATGTTAGATAGACTTAAGCATAGTTAATAGGAACAAAAAGATAGTAAGCTTTTTTGTTTCATATTGCAGGTGTTTGAGGGGAAACTTACTGTGTAGCATGTACTGAATTAATTAGTGTATGGTTAGAGTGCGAGTGGCAGGAAACTCCAAAATAGTGTGTGAAATAAGACAGAAGTGGTTTTTTGCTTTTATTTTTAATCTCATAGTTATTGAGACAGTCTAGAGCTATAGTGGCAGCTCAAAAGTCATTGAAGACCCAGGCTCTTTTTAACTTGCCGTTGGATCCTCAACTTGTTTCTATCATTTTTTAAAAATATGTTTTCATAGATTTTTTTTAGAGAGAGAGGAAGAGGGCAGAGAGCGAAACATCAATGTGAGAGAAAAACATCGATCAGCTGTCTCCTGCACGCCTCCTATTGGGGATCGGGGGCATATGCCCTGACCAGGGATTGAACCAATCCTCTCAGTCCATGGGACAATGCTCAATTCACTGAGCCACACTGGCCAGGCTATCATTTTTTATTTATTATTATTTTTTTTTTTGTTTGAGAGAGAGAAACATTGATGTGAGAGAAAAACACCAATTGGTTACCTCCTGCATGTGCCCGACCATTGATTGAACACAAAACCTTGGTATGTGCCCTGACCAAGAATCAAACCTGCCAGCCACCCTTTGATGTACTGGACGACACTCCAACCAACTGAGCCACACCAGCCAGGGCAACTTGTTTCTGTCTTGCACGTGAAATGGCAGCTCCAGCTCCAGCTCCAGCTCTCACGTCCATATTCCAGTGAAGATGAAATAACGAGAATCATATTTTTTTCTGTTTTTCTTTTTTCTCTCAATTCCCTCTCTGTTTCTTTTTTCTTTTCTCTCTCTTTTTTTAATTCTCGCCCAAGGATACATTTTTCCATTTATCTTCAGACAGATTGGGAGGAGGGAAGGAGAGAGAAACAGACAGACAGACGTCAATGTGAGAGAGGCACATTGATTAGTTGCCTCCCACATGACCCCGACCAGGGCTCGGGAACAAACTGCAACTGAGGTACGTGCCCTTGAATGGAATCGAGCCCAAGACTCCTTGGTCTGCGGGCTGATGCTCCAACTACTGAGCCAAGATGGCCAGGGCCTCTCTGTTTCTTTTAGAGAGACTCCTCCTGGCCCTGGCCAGTTTGGTTCAGCGGTTAGAGTGTCGGCCTGCAGACCAGAGAGTCCCAGGTTCAGTTCCTGCTAAGGGCATGTAACTCGGTTGCAGTTTGTCCCCAGTCCCGGTTGGGGTCGTGTGGGTGGCAACCAGTCAATGTGTCTCCCTCACATTGATGTTTCTCTCTCTCTCTTCCTCCCTCTCTCCCTCCTGCTCTTTCTGAAGATAAATGCAAAAATGTCCTCAGGTGAGAAAAGGAAGGAAGGAAGGAAGGAAGGAAGGAAGGAAGGAAGGAAGGAAGGAAGGAAGGAAGGAAGGAAGGAAGGACTCCTCCTGTTCTTGTTTTATGAATGCAGTATCATATCATCTCTCTATGGTGGTATTATTATTATTTTTTTAAGTGTTCTTCTGTTTCTTTGTTTTCTGTATTTCCCTTTTTTCATTCTTCCCATTTATTTTACTCTTTTACCCTCCCTCCCTCCCTCTCTTTTCTTTCCCTTTCTTCCTTTTTTTTACTTTTTTTTTGTGTGTGGTAATCTGCAGAATATGGGCTTTCCTTGACTAGCTATTGATATTTAAGAATGCTAATCGAAAGGTGTGTGTAGCAGGGTAGTGGTAGGGGCCTTGTTACCTGGAGGGGTGAACAGGTGAGGATCTATTTTAATGGGGAACCACTAGATACTATTCTGGAGTGTGGTCTTCTGTGGTAATAGGGGCAGTGTAGTTGGTTGCACCTGTGGAGCGGGTCTCTGGTGGACTACCTACCTGTTCCTTGCATAAACTTTCAACCAATTCTTCTGCTTTTAGCTCTACTGTGTACACCATCTGGTTACCTGGTAGGTGGTACCTGTGGTTACTGAGTCTTTCTGGAGTAGTGCTATGCTTGCTGGCTTGTTTCTCACTGCCTCTCTCTGCCACCATCACCCCTTTTGTAGCCTTAAGTTTCAGTTTTCTCTAGTCAGGTAAGTTAGTTGCAACATGTTTTGTTAAAATATGTTGTCAACTGCTATCTTCCATTGTAGTCTCATTATTCTTGTGAATTTATACCTTTGGAAGTTCTTTACTGTCTTTATAGTTGGGTTTTGGAAAAGAGCGGAGATGAGTGTGTTCATTCTG